AGGCAAGCTTGTGTTACTACTTTGGTTACTCTTGTAGTTTTTCCTGGCTACTGCTAATTAGCCTGGCAGATCTTCCAATGTTTCTTACATGAAGTAGTATATGAATATAGCTACTTGTACTGAGTTATCATAATGTCCTTTTTTTTTTTTTTTGTATCCTCCTTAAAAATCTAAAAGGCACTTCGAAAACCCTTGTCTGAGCAAGGAAGGAGACCCAGCCTGTGATCTGATACTCAGATGATGTCTCTAGTGTAGTCAGTGGTGCTGTGTCCTGCACTTGGACTATCCCATAGCCTCTTGTCACCTCATGCAGTTCTTCTGGGATGTTCAGGTTAAAAATAATCACTCCCTTGCTACCACTTTCCTGTTAGTTACCCTCTGAAAGACTTGCCCTCTCTCTCAATTACAATCTCAGCCTGTCTCTGACATCTCATTGGGATCCCAGCTCAGGTTAAAGAAAGATTCTCTCTCAAGCCCTCACTCCTGTTTGTGCATTTTTTTTTTATCTGTTGTAGGCAGTCTCACTCTCCTGCTTCTTCTTCAGCCTTATGAATAACAGAGGCGGCTGGGCTGCGGTGACCTAGAGGTGTGGCGACCCTTGGGCCCACGCCTTGTCTCCCCAGGCTGCAGGCAGCGCGGAGAGCCCTGGCTCCCGCGGGGACCTCCGTGCAGGCTGGGAGCCTGGCTGCAGAACATGTCCTCTCCCCTGAGCAGAAGCCGGGATGCTGATTTCTCTCGGGAGGTGGCAGCACAGCCAGATGCGATCAGCATCTGCAGCTTGGCGCCCAGAACTGCAAAGGGTGGGTGGCAGGGAGGAGGTGGGGTTGGTGCTGGATTCCTTCCGAGATGGAGCTCCTTAGTTGGGAGCAAGGATTAGGATGGGAAGCACGGGGATGTTGATGCATAGGAGGGATACCTTCAAGCCCTTTCTTGAAGCAGAGTGGAATCAGCCCAACACCCTCACTGTAACACGCTGGGGTCCCTCTATGCTGATCACACTTCTCTGTATCAGCTGCAGCAGATTGTGGTGTGGGGCCGAGATGCCCACTGTGGGGACAGTATCATGTGCTGAGCCTACAGCCACAGCCCCAACTGCTTTTTTATTCCTGTGTGGGGAAAGGCTCTGCAGGAGATTGGGCACAGTCAGTATGTAACGTGATTTTTCCAAGCACCTACTTACCTGCAGACCACGATGGCTGCATGTTATTTTATCTGCAAGCTATCAGACAGCTTAAGGTTCATGAGAAAGGAAGAGCAACAATTAGTCACCATCCCATTAAATGCTACAACCTGCTCCTCTCTCAGAACCTCATCTGTTCCTTTTAGCCTGTTTGGAGGCTCCAGTAGTCTCCTGAGGTTTTAGTAATGGATTACAAAGCCAGAGATACTATATGGGGTAAAATGTGACCATCATCTGGAAAACATACACAGAGGCAGGAGGTTTGGGTTTCTGCAGAAACCAAGCACACTCTGGTCCAAAAATCTATGGGATATATTGCTTAATCTACCCCTCTGGCTCTGTTATTTGAATTTGGCTTTCCTATGCCAAGCACACTGAATCAGCTGGAGATGCTACAGAGCCTTGTACAGAGCCTTGGTGGGAGGTTGTTTGCCTTCTTTGTGAACTTTGAGAGAAAGTTTTGTGGCAACACGGAATAACCGTAGATTCGGCTTTGCCCCAACAGTAATTTGTGAATGCTATCTGTGGATTTGTGCATCCAAGAGCAAAGAGTGCTAGAAATCCTAACTTAGCCAATTCAAATGGTTTTACTAGCATCAGCAATTGGAGGGCAGCCAGCCAGCCCTACAGTTCTTTAAAAAGTAATAAATACACCTGATTTTTGCTCCTTGGATGGCAACCACTGGCTGGCAACTCGTCTTATACACCAGGTAATTCCTCCTTGATGCTGCTTAGGGCACTATTGAAACCATGACTTAAGCAGGCAGCACTGAGAGGGTGAAGCACAGAAAGGCAACAGAAAACTCAAGGTTTATAAGCATTAGAAAGGGGCCACGTTCCTTTTTTTTCTCCTCTTTTCTCCTGGAAGTCTTGGAAGGCCCATTCTTACTCTCATGACTGTACAGTAAAGGAAAGTTGTTGCTCTGAAGCATGTTTGAAAGTGCTGCAGTTCTCTCTTTCAGAACAGTTTCTCTCCTAAGTGACACAAGTGCCCCAGAGAGATCCTGTAGTATTGAAGGATGAGTCATGGTGGCTGGGAAGCAGAATGCAAACAGCTCAGGCAGTGGGGACAGGAAAGCAAATCCACCTTTTCTCTCTGCATTTTCCTTCTGACACAGTTCTAGAGGATCCTCCTGCCACCATGTGGATCTCTCTCTTCTGGAGGGACAAGTTTTGCCAGTATGACCACCAGGCCTTGCTGCAGAGAGCCAGGGCTACGAGCAGCCGTTCCATGGCAGTCCAGTCAGGCACATGCATTCAAAGGGTGCACACATGGAGGAGGGAAGCATTTGAGGGATAAATCCCACATGGGAAAATGTTGGCTGCAGAAAAATAAACAACAAACCACCAACAGAATGAATGTAAAGGAGAAGGGCGATGAGCAAAATGCAAGACAGTTTTTGAAAGGTGGTTGCACTGAGACACCAGGTTCTTGGTACCTTGTCTTTTGCAACAGTCTTTGACAAGTGGGAGAGAGTTTGTCTCATTTTAATTGGGACTAACCATATTCACAGCGGTTGTCACGTCATCTAGTCTGTCTGTCTCCCTGCCTTTTCAGCTTGGCAGTCTCCTCTTTTCCCCCTGCATGTCCCAGAGATTTGAAAAATGATCCATTCTTCAAAGCATCGCTGGTAATTTGGACAACAGTGTTATATTTCTTTCGAGACTGATGCTTTTCAAAGCTGCAGCCTTTCTTCCTGCAGCAGCTGCTGACACCCCTCTATAATATATAGCCTTAAGAGGGGGAAAACAGGTCTGAGGGTCTGACTTTTCCTAGGAGGAGAGAGATTAGAGGTGGCACTAAAATCAAGAGAAAACAGATTTCATGTACAGCAAAGAAGGTAACTTAGACCTTTTTATGAAGTGGAGGACTATACTGTCACTAATTTGCCTTTGCAAAGCACACTTGAGATGTCTTTGTGCACTCCCCATTGTTGGTATTATGTATCTGCATACATGAATCAGCAAATATTAAATAAACATGTAGGTATATGTTCTGCTCTGCACCATGTTTGTTACTTTTTTTTTTTTTCTGAAAACATCACCACTGTTTTAGGAAGACTTAAGTTGAGATCTGAGTTGCTACATTGTTTTTGCTGCCAGATACAGAAAAATAAATCCAGGCCATATGATTGTTGACTGCATGGCTGTTATCCACCGGCAACCACCTCCCCGTGGTGGCATCAGCTGAGGTGGGGAGACTATAATTTTATATTGCAGCAGTCAAAGTGAAAATGAATGTTAACATTTCTCTGGTATACATATGCCCTAGTCTACATGTTTGTTCAATGTCCTGGATTCCTACTGAGAAATGTCCTACCGGGGACATTACCATACACATTTAGGGTTAGAACTGATATTTCTATTAATAAGAAATCTTGCAAATTTTGCTTTGAAAAGAGCTATTTTTTTGAAGGTAGAAAATAAATTTTCTCAAGCACCCACTTCCTATTTTCAAAATATTCCTTTGCAATAGTCCTGAACACAGAGCAACAGGACAGAAACCTGAATTCTGTGCAGCTTCATGTTATTGTGAGCAACAAGAGCTACCCCGTAACCGAGCAGCGTCCAGGGAAAGGGGCGGTTCAGTGAAATGGAAGCTTCCTATGTAGATAACTAGAGGTGTTAAAGGGTGTGTAAATGAGGGAGGGCATTTTTCTTCTTCAAACTTACCTTTATTGTGTAGGTAACTTTCACGCTCAGCCTGACCCTGCAAATATTTAGGTATGGACTTAAGGCACAAGTGTTACATGTCTTTCAAATATGAATCCCGATCCAAATATGAAAATTATTCCAACGCATCCAATGGCAGCATCGTCTAGTTCTAACCCCAGGTCCTTCTTTAGGTTAAGGTTTATTTGGAGACTGCAAGACACCCATCCCAGCAAGCAGTGGATCTCAGGTAAAAGCTGTATGCATACAGCAAGACAGATAGGATGGAGCCAGACCAGGATGGTGCTGTTTGGCCCAAGTGCTTATGATAGGTACAGTACAGATATGGCTTGTCTGTATATGTGCAAGAGAATGCTCTTTTTGTGCTTCTACAGCCTCCTGCTTCCCGCATCCATGGAGAGACACAGTGTACAAATGGATTTGAAGGCGTTGACTCTCTAGAGACATCGCACATCCACAGGGACCTGCAAAGCTGGGTGACACTTCAGGACCTGCATTGTCCTTCTGGGGAGTGTATTCCCCTCAGTTTCTGTATCTTGCGGACTATTACCTCTGACCTTCTCGGGAACGTACTTGGAGCTGTACTGACGGAGGAAGCTCCCAGTACCAGCTCCCGGGCCCGTGTTCTCCATCTTTGCAAGAGAACAGGCAGGGCTTGGGCAGCTCTGGCAGCACCAGTGAACCTGCGTTAATTGGAACTATTGTTAGCCCAAATCGCGCGCCGTAAGTGCAGCCTGGACGCTGCGCGTTCTGTCTCCGGTAATTCCATGTTCCGTTTAAAAAAACCTCTGGAGTGCAGGAGAACAAAAGGACCACAGCAGGAACCCCGTCGGACCCACCTCGTCCCGCACTCGACCCCCCTGCCACGGGTCGATTAGGGTGGGCGAAAACAAGCCATAAGTTTACTAAGGGCCGAAGGAGGAGGGCAGGGAAGCAAATCCCAAGGGATTTCACAGAGCTGCTGTACGAAGCCTCAGACACCCACAGGCACTGCAATGATGAGGTAACTGCGCACGGCCCCGCCCTGACCGCCGCTTTACGGGGCGCTCACGTGACTGCACCCACGTGACCGCGCTCCCGGCCCCGCACCTGCCGGCGGAGGGCGTGACGGGCGGGGGCGGGGCCTCCGGGGCCGCCCCTCCCACTCCACCCGTTCTTCCGCACCCCCAGCCCCGCCCTGCTGCGCACGCGTGAGCCGACTCACGCACCCAAAATGGCGGCCGCGATGGATGTGGACACCCCCAGCGGCACCAACAGCGGCGCCGGCAAGAAGCGCTTCGAAGTGAAGAAAGTGAGGCCCGCCGGCGCGCTGCTCCGGCTGCTCCCGGAGGGACGGGGAGGGGCCGGGGTCGGCCTCGTGGCGGCGAGCGGGACGGAGGAGGGGGCGGCTACCCGCTCCCTTCACGGAGCCGGGCGCCCGGTTCCGCACCGGCGCGGCGGGGGGGGGCGGGGCCTGCGGAGAGCCCTGGCGTGCGTCCGGGCCAATGGCTGAGGCGAGCCGGCGCACGTGCAGCGGGCGCTGGCCAATCAGCGGGCGCGGCCGGCGGGGGCGGGAGCGGGGGGCGCTGAGGGGGCCGCGCCGGTCGGAGGTTGACCCGGTCGGGGGCTCCGCCGCTCGCTCCTTTCAGGCGCAGCCGCCCCGACGGGCCTCGGCTGCTCCGTGCCCGGACCCTCTGGGCATTTCGGGACGGGGAGCAGGGATGGAGTGCTGCCGCCTCCCCGTCAGCCCCGGCCGCTGTGGCCCAGCCGCCTGAGTTGTCCCATGTGCTGTGTAAAATGTAAATGGCTGTTGCTGACTTTTCTCTCCTCCATCGTCTCTAAATCGAGCCATAACAACGTGTGTGTAGTCAGAAAATGCTCTCCTGTCACCCTGGCTTTGCCTGCTCGCTGAGAGCAGCCATAATACCGCTCTTTGTCCAGTGCCACCAGTTTGTCAGCTGGATCGTGGTAATAGTCCGAGCCTGCTCACGAAGGCATAGAGAAGTAGGGGGAGGCTGTGTGGGCTTGTGTTAAGGTATGATTTGAGGAAAAGTGACCCCTGAATTGGATATCAGTAAACGTTTCCAGGGGTTCCCACTTGTAGATGAGTTTGTTTGCAATGCAGCTGCCATCAGTGATGATGGAAGCCCCAGATCTGTGCAGGAGGAGGTGTTTGGGTGACATGATTGTTTGCCCTTCGGAAATAAGGACAGATATAATAGCATATATGAGGAGCAGGAAGTGGCACCGTTTATGTGTCAGTGGCATTCCTCCTCCCCAGCAAGGTACCAAGGCCTTTGTTACATGTGTGGCTCAGTACAGGTCTGTGGGTCATCAGAGCAGATCACAATGGGACAAGAGATTAAATACCTGAGTGTGTGCGAGAAATAAGGGTGCAGCGAACTTTTATCTCAGCTGCCTTTAAGTGTGGATGAAGTCCAATAAAGATGAATACCTCAGCCAGAAGGCCAGCTAGACTTGAAGTTGGAAGATGGGGAGAAAAAATGAGATGACTAGTGATGCATGTCCTAAACGATCTAGTACTAGTGTGAATACTTTTTACATCGACACTAATGAAAATTTGAAGTGCTTATCGAAGTCAATATTGCTTATCAGTATTTGGCAATCTGCATTGCTCCTTCAGAGTCCCAAACTGAGGGAAAGCAATGAAAACATTGAGATGGAAATGGAACACAGTAGAGAAGATTTACTATAGTACAGTCGATACAATCATATACTAAAAAAAATATAGAGGAAAAAAAATCTAGACTACTTAAGTAGTAAATGAAGATTATCCTGATTACCAGTACGATTATCTTGGATTGCTTTGAATATTGAAGGCAAGCCCATTTATTTAAAGAGTTTACAAAAGGCCTGATTATGGATTTTGTGGGGAGGAATAAAAAGGCACTGTGTTTTTCTGCATAGTGTGTCTTAAAGTCCTCAAACTCTTCCCCTGAAGTAGCATGGGACAATGATACTACTTTTCGTATATATATAAACAAAGTCTTTGAAAGGTTCATTTGGTAGTACTTTTAAATTTTTATATCCAGCCTTGCTGATAGATCATTGCTTATTAACCTTTTGTAGGGAAGATTGTTCAGCAGTCTGCAAAGAGTAGTGTTAGAGATTTAGTTCTTGACCCCAACTGCTCTGGGGAATGATTACTAGAAGAACTGCTGGAAATAGTGGGAATTCCTCTTAATAAAATGGCATCTGAATTGGCCTTTCTCCAAGGGACTGTCCCTTCCATCAGAATCGTGGATTTGGCACGAGCTGCATCCTTGCCTTTGGATCTTGAGTAGAAACCCAGACGTTTGCATTTGTTTCACAAAAAAATAAAAAAAAAAAAAAAGGAGAAACTGTGAGAGTTATCTCATTTCTGAAGTGGGAAGGAGACATTGGGTCTGGGAGGTTTGTCAGAGGAATGTAACCTGAACTCATGATGAAGAGTTACTCTGGCCTTCTGCATTTATTTTTTTCTTAATATCCTACTTTTCTATTTAAAAACATACATGGGCTCTTGAAGAATAACAAGGATTTCTGTGTACTGTAAATTGAATCAAAACTGTTTTTCTTTTTTCCCCCTCTCTCTAGTGGAACGCCGTAGCTCTGTGGGCATGGGACATTGTGGTTGATAACTGTGCCATTTGCAGAAACCACATTATGGATCTATGTAAGTAAATGGTTGGGAACACAGCTGACAGTTTGAACTTGTGTTCAACAGCTGAAATTTCCCCGGTCGAGGATATAATTCAGCAAATAGAGCTTTCAGTTAGGAACTAAGTCTTCTACTAAGCTCTATTTTATGTAACCCTGAAGTCCTATAATCTGCGTTTGTGACTTCTGTCACCATACTGCTTTTCCCCTCACGTTTTTTTTGTAAAGAGTAGAATCACTTGATGCCACATCAACAGACAAGATGATGTTGCTGAGTGTATTTTGGATGCAACAGAGAGAAAAAGAAGTACTAGTAAAGAGCCATGAGGAATTGAAATTATTCAGGGTCAACAGACATTGCTCACAAAGAGAGGTATTATATTTTGGAGTTGGGGATGTTGCTATGAGTATCAACTTTTTGATGCTACTCATGAAGCCTTGTAACACTCTCTGTGTCTGGCCAGGAAAGGCATGGACCAGCAAATCAATCTGACTCATCATTCTACAAAACTTACCTTGTCTAACTAAGTCAATGTGTGTTATAGTAGGGGGAATTTTGTAGCCACCTAAAGAATTAATTGTTCATTTACAAAGGAGAGTAATCAAATCCCAAAACAAAAAACAATGCATTGCTACTATTGGTTTGATATTATTTTTTTTCTTCCCCCCCAATAATCTGGATGGTTCATTTCTATCACGAAATAGGTGTGAATGCATGAAGTCACTGATTTCATTACTTTTAAGTATTGGTTATGAGAATAAACCCTTTTTTTCCGTCAAAACTGACAAGATACTGTTGACACCATCTTGTTTCAGTCATGAGGGACAGAAGACCTTTTAATATACCCCAGGCAGAAATTTTCCTATATTACTAAGATATGAGGATAGTGGAACCCCCCAAAACAAGCACAGGTACAACTGCAGTGCCTGGGGATGGCCTGTCATGATCCCATCGCAGTATTTTGTTGCACTTTGTAGTTGGCCTTGGAACTACATCCAATGGTAACTTACTCTCAATAAGCCTGTGTGAAAATGAAATGTATCACAAAAATGAGACTTCAAGTTTACAGTAACAGCTGGTGGGAGATGCACAATGTATTTAAATACATCGTATTTAAATAATAATTACAAAACTACTTTCTGAAATTTTGTTGGGTTTTTTTGTTTGTTTGTTTTTGGGGTTTTTTTATAAAGAGAAAACACTGGTCTGAAAATAGGTTAAGCAAGTTCAGTTCTCTTCTTTGGGACAGATATGTTTATATTTTGAGCCAGCTACTGCCTATCCATGCCTCAGTTTATTCTTAGTTAAAGGGAATGATAACATTAAAAGGAACAGGGATTATGAAATATACTGAGATCCTTTGATATAAAGATTTCCTCTTCAAGTCCTTCTAACCAGTATCATCTTGGAAAGTAGTTTCAAAAGAAGGTGGACACTGGACTACTACTTAATCTCTCAGGTTTATAATATATTAGAGAGGAAAGTATGTTGCTGGCAGGCAAATGGAATTTCAAAGATTTGTTAGAATGTAAGTTACATTTATAGAAGTTGCGAATATATAGAATAAATATATAGAATCCTTTAAATCAAGGTAATTACTCACCATAAGTGGGATGCATTGTAAGGTAGTAGATGCTGCTGTTTCATTCTATGAATCTACCTCAAAATTGATAGTGCTTTCCATGACAGACCAAATACAGTCTCATGTATTTGCTATTTTTTTTATAAATAGCAAATAGGACATATGGGGCTGAAGGAGAGGTGTGGAGGAGCTGAAGGAAGAATGGACAGATGCTATTTACCAGTAATGAATTTTGTTTGTCGGTTCTTAAAAACAAAAAAATTCAAAAAGTCCTACCAAAATGTGGGTGGGGATTGAGAGTATATAGGTAGGTTAGGAAAAACAGTAAAGGAAAAGGGCATAGCTAATTTTTTTCTTTTTTGAGTTGCTCAAGCATTACTTGTTATTAATTTGTGTATGAGCAGTGTTATGAAAAGCCTGGACTGCAAATGACAGACCAAAATTGACAGTATACAGAGTAGAAGGGGTATCTAAATTGGTATTCCGAGATCAGTGTTGGCTCTGGATTTACTTACTTCCTTGTTACAGATCGTTAATGTTGTTAAACAACCCTTTAATTAGATTTTCAAACGTAAGATGTGAAGTGATGGCAAATTGAGGAAAAATTAATAGAATGTGCAGGGAAGAACAACACAAGATTTGATTTGAGAAAATGCAGGATACAAATGTCTCCCACTCCTAGCGACGAAGGGAAACCTTGAGTGGGAAAACATTAAAAGAGTGATAAGTAATGCCAGCCATGGTAATGGAAGTTTGTTAACATTATTAAGTCAGGCATCAGTGTTAAGGTATCCTGCAGTTCTCCTTGTGCATGTGCCTTATGACTCGGTAATAGTGTGGCTGAAGAATTCCCCCTGCCCTCAGTTTGTTTTGTATTCAATGTACAGAAGGAATGAGTAGATTTTCAGTGTTTTGGTTTCATTCTTCTCTGGAAAGACCCAGGTCCTGTTTAGATTTATGAGAAGAGTAAAAGAATGGAACTAAGTATATGTAGTTGCTAAGTCATAAGTAGGAGTGGAAGATGATAGCTGTGTACATGTATTTTGGAAGTGTGATACTAACAGCAAATACTGAGAGTCATATTGTAAGTAGAAGGAATCAGATGATGGTGTGATATAGGGGAGCTTACAATAAGTATTTAGTAAAATCTGCAGATCATTCCTAAGTAACTGCAGGGAATTGCAAGGGGGAAATTCTTAAGTTTGAAAAAGTAAATTGAAGAGCTCATTCTGCATTCTGGGGTACTAGACCAGGCTGGAATAGGCTATGTCAGTTGGAAGGGACCTACAGCGATCATCTCTTCCAACTTCCTGGCTGCTTCAGGGCTGACCAAAAGTTGAAGTGTGTTATGAAGGGCCTCTTAAAGACTGACAGGCTTGGGGCATTGACCACCTGTCTAGGAAGCCTCTTCCAGTGTTGGCCTGCCTTCTATTGCTTTGTAATATCCAGACTAAACCTCCCCCGGTACAGCTTTGCACCATTCCCATGCATCTTATCACTGGATACCAGGACAGCTGCTCCTCATAGGACGAGTAATAAGTGTAGTTAAGTTTATTAGCCTGGTTATTTGGTTTTTCTGTCTATTTTCTGAGTGTTGTGTTAGCCAAACTGTGTGTATTTATTTATTTCTCTTCTTCCCAATAACTTGATCCCTTCATGACAGTTTTAGAAGGCAACATGAATAAAAAAAGGGAAAGCATACAGTGGTTACCCTTGCTTAAGCAGAAACAGATTTGAAGAGCTCTTATCAAATTTACCAGTGCAGTGGGCTGTTTTTGTAGCTGCAAACAAAAGAGATGTACTTTACTTCTGTTACCTCCTGTTATGGCTACTTAAATCCTGAGATACAGAAGATTTCTGCAATAGAAAATGTATAGAAAGTGGGACAGTTATGATGCCAGGATTCAGAAGCTGCCATTATATAAGATGTATTTCCATAACTCCCTGAGTTGAAATGCCTCCCTTGCAGCTTTCACAATTATTTACAGGTATTTCAGGTTTTAGCTGTATTTTTCTGCCCTCACCTCCAGACACTCTGTCAAAAGCAAGGCAACAGAAGAGTTGTTCAGTATTCCTCCATTACCTGTTACTGTCTGACTCTTACTGCTTCTCTTGGATCAGCAGATGGTAAATAGCTTCTCTTTCAGAATCATCAGCTTTCATTCTCTGACAGATACTGTTCATGTGTTTTATTTCTTTGTTGATATATTGTCCTTTTCTGAAATGAAGCAGGTAGGAGACCAAAAAGTGGTTCAGCTTTTGGAAAGCCCTTTTTTGGCAGCCAAAGGTAGCAGTGCCAGCAGTGGTCTCCAGCCTGTTTGATGAGGGAGTTAAATCTGGGTGTCTTGTTGGAAAGGGCCTTACATCAGCACTAGAGGACTTCTCCTCAGCTATTTCCATGGAAGCTCATCTGTCCTCTTAAGCTTTTAGTACTGTAATGCTTTAGACTGTACTTGCTTGTCAGAGAATGTTTGAGTAAGACTAAAATGAATTTCAGTAATGCTTTTCTTCCTTTCCTAAAACACCTTTCTTCCCTCTCACTCCCAGTCAAAATGCAGAGTCCTTTAAAGCCAGAGACAAAAATTTATAATTGTATTCCAAGCATGCAGCTCCCAGGTTAGGGCCACTTAGAGAGGGGAAAAAAGACAAAATGACATAAAAATGGACTTCATGTCTAATATGCCCAACGTTTTGTTTTCAGCAGGAAAAGAGAAGAAACAAAATAAGTGTTTCTTGTGTGCTGGAGCATTTTCCTTGCTTTCAGCAGAGACTTCCTGAGCTAAACTTTGCTTATCCGTTGACTTTTCTCCTTCAGATGAATGCTCTCACTTTTTTCTACTACTCCTCATCATTTTCTACTATTCCTCACTATTCAGTTACTTTACAGACTCATGCCAGGTGTTCAAAACTTAATATAATACACCCCATGATCATGAGTCTATACTGCAGTAACAGTAAAATTGTTGCATCAATCTCAGGTGTAAAATCTTGTGCAAATATCCAAAGTAATTGAAGTTCTTCAAGGGTCTTAAGCATCTTCCATTTTCTTAATCAGATTTAGTTTTATTGCTCTTCGTATTGAGAGCTTCAGGAATTAAGGCATCAAACATTTCAGGTGTACTGGACTTTGTTCTCCTCTATAGGCAAGTAAGGGATTGAGCTTTGGACTTCTGCTGTGGTATATCACATTGATGTAAACCACAATAAATACACTTTCTTTCAAATCTTGCAGAACAGCTGCTGTTACTGAGTTTCCTTAGACGTCAGTTTTTGTTTTGAGTAGTTCCTCATGACTAAGGTTAACTGACCTCTCTCATATCTCAGAAAAAATGGGTCTTTCTTTTATTTTGTTCCTCTCCACACCTGAAAAAGCATGAAAAAACGAATAAAGGGATGAATAGGACAGAGCAAACAGAGATCACATTTTCTGAGCCAAACCTGTGGGGTTTGAAAGTTTTTGAATCTGAGCATATTCAAGCTCACAAACAGTGAACATAGAGCTCATTCAGACATCGTCTTTGCCAGGGGAAAAAAATGATCTGCAAAACAAGAAAGCAGCAAGCCTGTGTGTTGAGTTCTAAGCTGATTGTTTATCAGCATATCTTTTTAAATCATTAGGGCTTGACTCTTAAAGAAAGCGTCCTTTAGCAGGAAGTAAAATGTTGGTCTCATAAGTTTGTGCTGCTGACGGTGGAGGAGTTGGAAATATCCTTTTTTCTTCTGAAGTTTCGTCTTGAGGTGGAGCAAGGTGAATTGTTCAGGCTCTAGAATGGAGAACCACATTGCAGGATTTATTTTCTCACTGCTGTTCTTCCTTCTTGCCTTACTCTCTCTTGTCTCCTTCATCCACACCACCTGACACAGAAGCCCAAAACATAACCCAAACCCATAAATAGTTGGGGGTCTTTGTGAGGGTGATCCTGGGTACTTAGCTCCAAGGTATAAAAAGTCTAAACCATAAATTTTTTAACTACTGTGTGCTTTTGGGGTGTACTTACCTATCACAAGACTATAGAATAAAGACAGGCAAGCTCCAGATTACATGAGCAAAGTAAATTATAAATAGAGTACATAATGTCTGACAAGACAGTGAATTTATATAGAGAGAAACCTGGGTAAGAAATTTATGTAGCTTCAACTGATCATGAAAAGATATCTCTTAAAATACAGGAGGAAAAAATTAAAAATATTTATCCTTGAAATTTGGGAAGGAGACATGTTGCCAGCAGATGAACTATGTACTCTTGCCCTCTGGAACTTTGGAATACTAAAAAAGTAGAGGAAGAAGGAAATCACAACTAAGTATATTTTGGTCTGGTACTTTTGGAAAAACAGTACACATTAAACCACAGCTCTTGGCCCTTTCTGATGTAATAAATCCCCCTGCCCTTACTTGCTAATATGAAGAAATCTATCACTTGGTGTTGCATGCACATCTTCTACTCCCGTGTATATCTGTTTAATCTTTGTTTTCACAGGCATAGAATGTCAAGCAAACCAAGCATCGGCTACCTCTGAAGAGTGCACAGTTGCATGGGGCGTCTGCAATGTAAGGAAAACTGTTTTATTACCGAGCTCATGTGTGGTGATGCTATCCCCCTTTTCTGAAGACTCGAGACAGAATGAGTTCTATGAAATGTGTCACATCACCACCACAAATAAGAACTTCAAACTCCATATGTTTAGTAGAATTTAGAAAGGAGAGAGAGAAGAAAATAAAGTGAAAGTTGGAGAGATGTAATAAGGAAGACACAGAAATGAAGGGAGGAAGATAGACCTTTACTTTTTTTTTTTTTTTTAAGAATAATAGATCTTTCATTCTGAACATAATTTTTCTGATCAAGGTTTGCCAGGGAGCTATGCCTTTTCTTTTTTCCCTGGTAAAAGGATTAATTGGATGTCAGCATGCTTGATTGGTCTTCATGCAGGCTGATTCAAGGAGTCAGTGTGAGGTAACTACATGATTTGCTTCCAGTTTTGGAGGAAAATCGAATTGATACTAATGGTTTGTCTCCAGCTCTTGCAGTGTGTTGCCATATATGCTCCTTTGTACATGGTCCCACCAGCACGTGAACTCCAAACTTGAATACCTCTTAGCTAGCCTTGGCCTGAGTTGGAAGATAACATTTTCCATAATGAAATAACTTCCTCTGTTCAATCCTCACTAAGTTGTGGGATCGAGTTACAGCGTGATAATGCTGGAACAAGATTATAAGTGTTGCAATTCTGTTTGCGGAGGACAAGAGCAAAATTTTTAACCATGTCAGAATATTCTAGTGTCAAAATTATATTGTTGCGTGCAAGAGTTACCACAAGTGGAACCTTGGGTTTAAGTAGCTGTATGGAGTATTGAAAAGGGTGTCCTTATTAAACACAGAGTTGGTTTTCTTCTTTCTAATTTTTCAAATTCCTTTTTATTCAGGCTCTGGTTTCTCCTGAAAACTGACAGAAAGCTTCCTTCAGCATGTATACATTCATATCATCCCTGCTACTCACTCTGAAATCCTCTTTCTTTTCTTTCTGATTATGCTTCTTACCAGCATCTGCTCTGCCAATTTTAGCAGCTGCTAAACTCTGCGCTCTCTCCTTCATCAGAAGTCAGTCAGTTGCCACTGTGTGCACTGTGGAACAGGCTCCCTGCTGCCATTTCACTAATATTTCTCCCCTCTCTGAAAATGTGGATCAGTTCCTTGGTGTTTACCAGCGAATTGGCTGATCAGTCCTCCCCACTTTTGCCTGCAAACACTTGCTACTCTCTACTTGCCGTGGTAACTTTCACATTGAGATATCTTCCTATGTTCTGAAATGATGTGATCTGAACTTTGTCTTCCAGCACGCTTTCCACTTCCACTGCATCTCTCGCTGGCTCAAAACTCGCCAAGTATGTCCGCTGGACAACAGGGAATGGGAGTTCCAAAAGTAGGTATCCTGCACAGATGTCAAGATGAAAAATCCAATTGTCCTTCTGTAAATATAAGTGATCAGTGTAAGATTTGTGGGGCTGAGGGCATAGTTGCTGTTGGGAGAGGCTTTTTCCTCTATCTTGCTGTATAGGGACCTTTCCTTAGCCTCCTGGTGCTAAATGAGCTCTGAAGGAAGTCCAAACAGCTGTGGGGTAAGTGGGAGCTGTTAAAAAATAGTGATTTCTATTGACATTCCCTCTAAAGGATGGAGAGCAGAAGAGAAATGGAATTCACTAAAAGTGGAGCCTCAGGGGAATGCTATACTGCCGTTTGAGCAATTTAGGTTTAGAGAATTACCTGAATTCAGCTACTTGGGTTCCAAAGTGTTTCTGCTGAGGTGCCAGACATCTTACTGGGCCCCTCTGTTATCTTGGTGATTTCATTTATAACTCAGAGCCTCAGAGATTGATATAGCTGATTTCCTAGCATCTGGAAATCAAGTGTCCATGTAACCGTTGCTGCAGCTCAGGCCCATTTAGTCATAATTTCTATATTGTTTTTGTTTTGTATTTTTCAAAGGTCTGTTGTTAGAATAGTAACAGGAGATCAATCGATAGATTTTTGAGGGGTAATTGTATTTTGATAGGTATTGAGGATAGTTAGGAAGTTTGCCTGACACTCGCTTTGTTCTGCACAATTTATCCATTAATCTTTTCTTAACTGTGGATTGTCCCTCTCCCCACCTCCTTTATTAAAAAATTACATTAATTCTAATCAGAGTCCAAATGGAAACAAAGCAAAAAAGATAAAAGTATTGAGGATTGTCTTTGGGATCTGGTTCACAGTCAGTTGCACAAATCATCGTTAACATGACAACTCAAGTACCGTAGTTCTGATACTAAGATGTTTTAGTGAACACACAATGAAAATTAAGTCCACGGTGCCTGGCTAGTGACTTAATATTGCATGGGCAGCATGATGAGAAATGGAGACATGAATTAATATCTTCTGACGCATGCTCAGTGTTACTTCCAGGGCTATGACAAGCTTTGGCCTTGTTTTCATGCAGGACATATTTGAACTGGGATTCAGGGCAAAAGATGATGATACTGAGGATCTCTTGCACATGGTATTGTGGATCGCTCAGGCTCTCTTCTAAGTGATGTCTGGATAGACTTTTAGGGGAAGTGAAATGTAGAGAACTTCCTAAGATTTCCCTAACATAGCATTTCACCTTCATCCCATTTACATGTTAATTACATTGTGGCAGAATGAAAATAAATCCACCCAAATCAGCACTACCATGAATTGTAATTTTTAAAAAGTCATTAATATATTATCTATTTGCAGGTATGGGCACTAGAGAGATGGTCACCACGCTTCTCATTATGTCATCAGACTCAGTTGTTCTTGTCACTATGGGTTTGTTTTAGCAACGTGGAAAGTCAGTAATGTATACGATTCTTCTTTCATCCTAATTTCTTTGTTGTACACCACTGAATAAAATCTTGCTGGAGCTTCCTGTCAAAGTTTTTTGTCTTGTGTTCAGGAGTGGGCTGTTGGAGCATGAGGGAGGGGAATTATCTGCAGACCAGGGACTTAAGCTAGGCTTAATTCTTTATTTAGCTGGGCAGTGCTTCTTGTTGCTACGCCAGGCTTTTGACTGAGTTTGATCCTACTCCCACACAACTGAGAACCACACCTCTGGCTCACCGAGGTCAGCGTGATGTGTAGTGATGTGTACTCCACCGTGTAGTGCGATGGGTGCAGGACTTGGCCTGGCTAAGAGTAATTTGTGCAATAGCATTTCATGTGGACATGCTTTCTTACAGCTGAGTTGAAACGATGATCTATACAATTAGGGGTTGTGCCATCATTAGAAAGTACTCTCTTGCTTCTGCCCTTGCAGAAGCTCCCCTGCAGAGGAAATTTTCTCCAACTTCCCAGTTCCAGCGGTTTAACCTTGGGGAACACTGACTGTTACTTTTTGTCAGTGTTCATAAAGCACTTTCATGTGTCAGGTGAAAATAAATAGAAACTTCATGTGCTAGATTGGCTGGAAAGCTAAAAGTATGCAGTGTATGTACAAACTAATTTGTGGTTGGCTTTCTACTGGTATTTTTCCTAGTTCAAGACAAACTGGCCCAAAATTGTTCCTCTGAAAACTATATGATGTTCTGTTTGGTGTGTCTTCTACCAAATGGCCTGGTATCCTGCTCACAGCATCAAATTTTGGCCTTTATGTCAGAAGCCTCAGCAGAGCTGGGATCTCAAACAAGGTCCAGGAAATTCTTCCAGCTACAACAGGCTGTGTCCCTTTGTGCCAGCAGTAATAGACATGGTAGATTTCTTTCCTTGGCTGTTCATGATGCCACCTTTGGATCAACACTTTTGCTAGTTATTGAGGATGGAAAATTTGATAGCTGATACTAAACATTAGTGTACTGTAGCGATAGGGGATAAAGATGGTCATTGACAGAGCCAAAACTCACAGGTTTTTCAGTAATTGCTGGGGCTTGCTTTAATCTGCAGTAAGTAAATGTCAGGATTATTTTGTCAGCTGGTGTCAGTGCTCTGAAATGAGATGGTTCACTGTTTTCCACCCTGAAGAAGAAAAGAGGAGCAAGTAGGATCAGGAGAGTTTATAGATAGTTTATTTACAAGAATTCTTGGTAGAAAGTCCATCCCAAGTTTGCCAGTTAGTTTTGGTGATGGAGGCAGGAATGGAACAGAAGAGAAGGAATGGAACAGATGATCTCAACAGTAGTCAAAGTATTCATCCAGGCAGCAGGGTATCCAGGTTAAATGCCATTCCCTGAAATTTGAACTCCTATTTAATGTCCTGTCCAGATGAGTGAAATGACAGATGTGTCTGGTTTTGATTGTCCATTTTGTTTGCAGTATTTGATTTTTCAGGACCTGGAACCCAGATGCTCACTGATTGGGGAATTTATATCCTTGAGAACTTTGTTTTGGGTCCAGCTATGTCATTCTGATTTGTCCCTCTTTAGTCTCTGCATAGTGCCCTGAGCATGTTTTTTTGGCTGGGTACTGACACATCAGGCATTTCAGACACATCAGGCATTTCCCTCTTCTTAGTGGCATCATGTGCATTTGCTTGAGGCTGTGCCTGCAAAAAGACAGGGGGGGTTGGTATTTTTTATTGCCTTTTTTTTTTTTTTAATGGATCCCTCCAAATGGCTGGCTACAGGCAGTCTCCCCACACACCCTTCAAACCTCTGCTCTGCTGCAGTGTGTAAAGCCCTGACTGTTAAACTTGATTTCAGATTGCTTTTGTAGTGTCTTTCCCAAACCTGATTTTCCCAAATAGAAAAATATGGAGTGTAAAGCACCAATTGTTTACAGACCCAGGAAAGAAAATCCTTTTTCAGCTGCTGCCCATTGCAGTGGCCCTGCGGCCACTTCCCCTGTCGCGATCCACAGCCGCTCCAACATTGGGCTGCTGGCAGTCCCGTCTTCCGTAGCGCATTAAGGGTTGTGTTTGGAGGGAGGAGGAAAAGCTTCAGCAAGTAACCTTAGAGAGAAGCACTACGGCACAGGCAGTGCCAGGTGAAAGTATAAGGGATCTCTTGTATTTGAGGGATCTGTTTTATCCAAAGGCACAAAGTGCCCCATTTCCCCAGGGCATGATTGCTCACCCAGGCTGGCATTGCTCTGTCCTGACTTTTACTGTTTGGCCTCCATCTCTGCTAGGCATGGTGGTGGTGGAAGGAAGAAAGGCCATGCATTCCCACTGCCTTTTTTCCTAAAGCAACGGTAATTTTTGACTGTAGCTGCCCCTTTTTGCAATATATGGAGAGCTTTTTGGGGAAGAAGGAGGAAGAAGGCACATTTCTAAGTATCCTGGGGGGGAAGTAGGTGTGCAGGAGAGAAAAGACTGTGTCAGTGCTGTTTGCCCATCCTAAAAATGGAGAATGCATCTGAACTGTGGACCCAAAAATAAAATCAGGAGAAAATGACAGTTGAAACTGCAGAGAGCAGCATATCCTGCAGCTGCCCGGCTTAGAGAAAAACAAATCACTGGTAGACCCACTGTGGAGCAGAAGGCAATTTTGACATTTCTGATTCTTTCTGGAAGTTTGTCAACTGAGGTGAGCTGCATCCCTGAGCAGGCCCTCGCAGAGAGCAGCCAGAACAGAGCAGACCAGGCAGTGCCTTCCTTCTCTGCCTTTTGCAAAGAAAGCAATGAGCTCCAGGTGCTGTGTGGCATCAACTGTGCCTCATGCACCAAATCCCTCCGTGGTCTTGCATTAAAATGCCAGAATGGGGATGATGTGACACCGAGATGGCACGGCGTGTTGGGCTGCATGGAAGTAGGAAGGGGCAAACAGGACTTTCCCTGTCAAAACGCACCACAGACCATGCATTAAAAAATGTCAGGCTGTCGGGAGTCTGCTGGTTGAAAAGTGTCTGATGGCTGAGAGAGATGGCTGAAGCCTCAACCAGTTTTCCAGGCTTGTAGTGACACACCGTGGAGTGAACTTCATGATCATGTCTCCTGCTTCAGACAGATAGGGAGGGAGTTTCAGATGTGGAGATGCAGATGTTTAGGCTTGAATGAGGAAGCTTTGCAATTGTTTTGGGTGGCCCTGTGCAAATACCCCTTACAGGGGAGCCCCAGGAGCTGCTCCCACTGCTGTGTGGTCAGGTGTGATGGTGAAACCCAACCCACACATAAGAAAACACACTTTCAAGGGAGGAGCTGTCTGTGTGCAGGCAAGCAAAGGGGCCAGCAGCCATCAGCCTAATGAAGAAGTTAATGGCATCCTCAAGTAGTCTGGGGCCACAAAATGCTTGGCAGAGCTGATGTGAAAATGAGCCAAGCAGCACTGGCAGTGTGTGAGGTGCAAAAAAGCTCTCTCAGGCAGAGGCCTGAGCATCCAGGAGGGGAGTAAGCACCTGAGAAGATCTGCCCTGTTACTGGACAACTACTTTCTCCAAAGGCATCAGGGCAGAGGATGGCAACAACACCACTTCCCTGACTGACTCTGCCTTGAGTTTCATTCCTCAAGCTAAAAAGGAGCAGCCAAGAATGAGTAGGAAGATAAAGAAGAGATGGGCAGAGGCAGAGACCAAGACAAAGAAGAGATGGGCAGAGGCAGGGACCAAGACTAAGTCACTGATTGTGCTTGCTCCCATCATCAGACAGGCAAGGAGATGTTCTGGAATGTGGGGACCACCCTTTGTGAAGAACACAAGCTCTTCCCCTTGTCAGTATGGGAGTGATCCCACATTGTACTTGCACAGCAGGAACATGGTGCCATCATGGGACATCAGAGAGGCACTTGCAAGGTGCAGAGCTGATGCCTGTGAGGTGTTGCTTGGCCAGCACGCTGATGGTCCTTTCCCTGGCCCACCGTGAACTCCCATGCTTCTGCCCTATGGCAGCTGCTTTGCCACCCAGTGAAGGGATGAACCCCTCAGGAGGCTTCGGGTGGGCTCAGTGGACACTGGCACCCCAGATTGCTCAACCCAGTCTGGGCAAAAGCCATCACTGCCTGGAGATCCCCAGGCCACAGCTGGAGAGAAAGAGGTGACACTGCTGAGGGTATTTTCCTAACGAAGATTCCCCTGAGGGCTGGAGGGGAGGAGGAGGATGGGTGTGGAGAAGCATCCTTTGTCTCCCTGCTTTGCTTAGCCTGTTCTCCCCACAAAAGCTGTGGGAAGAGTGAGCTCTTCTTGCCTGCTTTTACTTTTCCTCACAAGCTCACTCTGCCAATATCACTGCCAGCTCTAATCTGCTGTGAGGAAATGCCGTTCCCCCCACCAGACACTCCATACATTGCTCTGTTCTCTTCCCCAGTGCAGCAGGCTTTGCAGTAAGCCTGTTATTGCTCACTGCGGGGCACCTCGGTGCACGCCACTCACCACACCACCACCCTCTCCCCATTCTCCGCGGCTCACTCTGGCCTGTTCTCTGCTCTCCTCTTTCATTTCCCCTCTCTCTGATATGGTTCCCATGGAGATCCTGAGGTACCAATGGTGCCTGTCCTCCACAGCCTGAGGGAAGGGGTTGGTGGGGTGATTTTGGGCTCACCTGGGCTGATGTTGCATCCAATCCCACAAGTCAAGCTACAAGTTGCTGAAATTTCTGTTTTGTCTCTCTGCCACTTGACTTCTTCACAACAACAGGACACTGGCCTGTCCTTTCCCTTTTTAGCTGCTTTCCAGCCTCTCCCCATTGGACACAGAAGAGGCAGCTCACCAGGTTTTTGCATCCTGCCATAAACAGCAATGCTCCTGGATGCAATAAGGAGGGAGGGGGGAACCATTTGAGGTTGTGATTTAAAGATCTGTTAGAAATTAGCACCAGCTGATTCTGGAGAGACCAAGGCCAAGTGTGGGGATACACCACTGCCTACTGCCTTGCTGAATTTACCTGCTCCACTACAGCAGCCTGGAGTTTGCCTGTTTGCTGCCTTTTCTTTCCATATTGCTGTGAATATGGCTCAGTCACCTGATTTCTTGGTCCTTGCATGAAAGGTGAGTCCTGGCCTCCCTGCTCCAA